GAGCGAACCCTCCTCCCCATCGCCCACGACACCATCTCCGGCGCCAACAAAGCCCAAGCCGACACCGAAGCCCATCTCGACGAAGCTCCAAACCGCAAAGAAACGCTTGAAGAAACCGCTGTGTTCATGGACGGCCGCACCCACGCCAAAGCCCTGCTCACCCGCTTCGAGGAGCAGATGCAGGCGTTGGAGGCATATCAGAAAGCGCAGTTAGATGACTTTTACGCTACTGACATGGGGTTTGATATGCTGAAAGCTGATATTGCGCCGCATATGATTACTAAGGAGGAGACGGCGGTTGTGTTGAAGGTGCGTCAGGCTGGGAGGCAGTTGTATGAGCTGGCGAAGAAGGCGGATGAGGTGTTGGTGAAGGAGATGGTGGAGGGGAATGAGGTTTGGAAGGAGGTGCTTAGCACGGAAGAGAAGGAAGGGTTTGCGAGGGAGTTTATTGAGGTGGTGGCGAGGTGGACTGGGGTGAATCGTTGAGGAGTTGAGATGCGAGGTAGTTTCCCGATGGCTTTCTTAGGTATCCATGGGCCGAAGGAGGGTGCGATATGCCTCTCGGTGTCCTTTTTGTTCTTCCGATGCAATCTTTTATCATCAATTCTGTTACAAAGTAGGTCAGGAATTATTCTCATGGTCCATCTTTCGTGCATACATGTCTAAAATCGCTTAACCTTGCTAGTCCATTAAGTATTTGAATTCTTAGAGGAGTTAGAAGAAACCCATCTTGTATTAACTAAACCACTTTACCCATCCGATACATACAGTTCACTCGAAGCCCATCTAACTCGATGCCCATCTAACCCAATAAACAGGCGCTCTAATAAAACAACCCTCTCTAACTCAATCCCTCTCACTGAATCCCTCTAAACAAACTTCTCAATCTCGCGAGCCCCAAATATATCTGACCTCGTAGACCTAGGTTAGGTCTCATACTCTGTACCACGTCTTCTCTCCTGGGAGCTCCAACTCCTAACCGGAGGTTTATACGGCGGGTTCGCGTCTCTGTTGACTCCGCAAACAGGGCAAACGTACACACCATCTTTATTACGCTCACATGAATTGATTGCGCGGCAGTCTCGGTTAGGGCAGATCCAGTCTCCCTTCATCTTCGGACAATCGAAGTAAGCATTCTGGCATTTTTCGGTGTTGGTCTTGTAGTTGAGGTAGTCGCACAGGCCGCATCGGTAGTGTTCGCTGTGAGGCATGGTGTGTACGTGTTGGCTGTTCGTGCGGTTGAGATGGGGTTTGATGGTCGTGATTGGGTGTTGGTAGATTTGGGTGCGGATGTATTGTCCTGTGAATCTACGGTTCAGTTGGCGGAATGCTCTATTGTTACTGGAGAACCACTTACGAGATCGAAGTAGACTATTAATAGGGATTGTTGTTGCTGTTGTAGACCTGCTGACAACCGAGGAAGATAGGTGATAGATGTTCGTTGTTGATAATAGACTCTAAGTGTTGTATTCTATTGTTGTGTTGTACCTAAGTTGAGGGCGCCAGCGTGGCGCCTTTAATACTGTCGTAGATTCACATATCGTACTCAGATGTGATTAACGCAATCCATACGACACAAACGAGACGTGAAGCCTGCCATCAATTGACGGCGAAGGGAATCACACCTCGACATCACAGTCGATTGCACCTGTCTCACCAAATCATTCAGTGCAGTCAAGACATCGACTAAATCCATTATCTCAGCGAAGTCTAAGCTTCAACGGGCTCACGGTATGTGGGGAATCCATAGGCTTTACTACCAACAGTGCGGTGCAGTCGCTCTATCGTGAAGAGAACTGGGTGTCTTTCCCCTTCACTTCGTTCCAAGTTCATACTAGCATCGACAGACCGCATAAAATTGAACATTACAATCAGTCAAAAGAGTGTGATTTATCATACATATTATATCCTCCGTCAATGAAGGTGTACAAAACACCCATGGACCCTCTGGTTTGACACTGAGATACCCAACCAAAATGAAACACCTTAGCCAACATCTTCAACTCCTCTGCACCCACATCTTTCTACCTTTGGCCGCTCTGTTGATATATTCAGAGAACTGGCGGTTCTTGACGGTCAGGTGGGTGCGACCCAAGGGCGAAACCCTTCTTCTCTGCCACGTCGCGCCAATGTCCAGGTTTAACCTTCGATTCGTATTGATCGTCCGGGTCTTCCTCCTTACCACAACCGGAATGATTGCAGACACGAACCTCGCCCACTGCAGGTGGACGATCGCGCCGTACGATCTGCTTGCAAAAATTGCAAATCCAGTCGTGCTTCCTCAACGAACAATTCCGTAAGTGGGGGTTCTCGCATCTCGCGGTGTCCTCATTCGAATTATCCGGATTAGCCCATCTGCACCGAGGGCAATACCATAAATCTTCCAGTGTCCCGCCCATATTTGGGTTTTCTTGCTAGGGTGTTTGAGAGGACTTGTAGGACGAAGTAGGGTGGTGGTCGCTTTGGGTGCGGATGCGATGGCGTTCTCGAGGTTTATTTGGTGAAGTGGCCAGTCGCCGTCTGTTCTTGATTGAGGGCTGCTCAACCGGTAGGAAGAATCGATATGGCTACCTTGCTTGATGTAAATTATAAGGGTATGTAGATGCTCGTGGTTGATAAGTAACTTCTGCTGTTGCGATGCACCTAGATAGAAGGCGCGCAAGAAACGCAATTTATACCGGTGAAGACTCACACATTTTGCATACTCACAACCACATCTGGCTCACCAAACTACTCATTACAGTCAAAAGATTGACTCTATCGAGTGTTTCGATGGAGTCGTTGCATTCAAGTCACCGACTGATGATAACGTCTGACTGAACATGGCGGGGCTGTACTACCTCCAACACAACCAAAGTGACGAACCCAAAGGACTCACAGATATAACACTTGTTGTATATAGATAAGGCTTCGTTTCTATCCCGCTAGTTGGCCCGTGACGCCGCACTGACCTAAAAGTCAATTTGTCGCTGTCGATGCGATCTATCATGCCCGTCTAAATCTCACTCTATAAACTCCGTATAACCCGACCCAAACTGGGAATACTCGACTCTGTCATGTACATCTTCCGTATTCGCATCTTCGGCGTTGGACACATGGGCAGTCTTTCGCAGCACGCTTAAGCGAGCCGTCTTCCGGACCCTGACTTCGTCATATTACGAAATGCTCCTGTCCATCCTTCGAATCCTTCGCATCCTTCGTACCGTTACACCATGACTGCTCGTTCTCCCACTATATCCTCCAACACCACCACCACCACCACCACTCCTCTTCCTTTCAATCCCCCGTCATCCACCCAAACACACCCATAAGAATAATCTTCAACCCATCCCCGCGTCTTCACCTCCCCTCATACTCCGTCCCCTTCTTCCTCTCCGCCGAGCTCCAACTCCTCACCGGCGGCGTATACTTGTACTTCGCATCAAACGCCGCACCACACTGATCACACCTATACACGCCGTCCTTATCACAGCCCAGTGTGATGCGCACGATATTCGGGCATTTGGCGCAGAACCAGTCGCCTTTTGATTTGGGGCAGTAGGCGATGTTGTTGAGGCAGGCGCCGCTGTGAGAGGCCGGGTTGGGGAAGTCGCAGCCGGAGCAGCGGTATGGGGTCGCTGAGGGCATTATTGAGTTGGCGATTAAGACTTGGAGGAGTAAAGTATGTAGTTGAAGGGATGCTGGTGGGTCGAAGTTGTGGGTCGGAGTTTAGCGGTGGTTTGATCTTTCGAGGGTGGTTGTTTTGTACGTGATGGATGCAATCGGTGTGAAGACTTGAAAGTGTGGACTGAGTGAGTGAGTGTGGATGTGCTCGAAAGTATCTCCTCCAACACCAGCGTCGGAACATCCAGTATTTACACTCTCAGACCTTCGAATTCGGATAACCCAATGGTTCTTTTGACCAAACGTTCTTTCTTTCGGGCTGTGTTCCGTCGTATTTCCATACGTATAGCGAGCGAGAAGAAGGTTTGTGCGCCGTGGGGTGTTCGGCGAGGACGAACAACTGCTAACCTACTACTAACCAAGACGCCGTCTCATCATGAACTACCCATCTAGCCAGCCATTCATCCGATCCCATATTTCCTACCACACTCATTTCATTCAGTGCCCTGTTGCTTCTCATACAGTACTCGTTCTTCCATCTCATAACTCATCCTCCGTACTTATCATGACTCGCGAGATTATACCTGCAGCGCAACTCCGACTCACTCCCCTCTACCCCATTCGCCACTTTTTTTCCTCTTCAACAGCACCCAGCCTCAGCCTCACGCAGAGCCCGAAGACTCGGTCACTGAAACACCTTTTTCTACCGCACCGTTCCTTGATGTTCCTTGATATTCACCTAGCGCCCCCTAACTGGACCTACCATTGGCTCTTGGCGTAGAAAAAGCATCCCCAGCGCTGACGTGCACGCCGCTAGTACACGTGTGCTAACCGCAACAAAGCCTACAAGAGGCTCATCATTACATCTTGGCTTGTTTCCGCGAAGCTGGTTTTGTTCCCGGCCACGTTGTTTATGTTCCGTTCCACGTGGAATCTTCCATGTGGCAACCATGCGCAATGCAGATCTCAACGTAGAATGACAAATAGAATAGGTGTAGAAGGGGAGGAAGGTTCGAGAAATGAGGCGGTGGATGTGTTGTTTTTGTGTCATGTTGATGGGTGAGGATGGGGGTTGAGTAATCTTAATAATGCGGCCCAAGGTATTTTGGAGGCTGCTATGGTGCGGTGCTTGGGATTTGGAGGACAGTTGTTGTACTTGTATCCATGAAACGCTCATGGGGTGCTCACAGGTGTGATCTCATCAGACCCTTGTAGAGTCTCCTACGTGAACCACTCTACCAGTGACGGGAACTGCGTTGTCAGATAGTGCCCCAAGACGCTAGAACGTTGAAAAGAATAGTTTTAGACTAGGGCGAAGGAAACTAAACCATTGCGAAGACCGTCATCTCCAGACCCATGCATCAACAACCAAGCCACCTACACGTTGTCATCGCAGACTACTTCTGATGCGTATGATCGCTCCTCGCCCCAGTAACTCCAATATTGAAATCCTCGCGTATCCTCGACAGCGCACTCTGCTCCTCTTCATCCGCCACTTCATCGTCGACTTCAACTTCAGCAATGCTATGTCTACTATCCGAGCCATCGCTGCCATCGGCGTTGACCAACGCCTCCTGCTCCTGCTCGTCCTCGTTATCAGACTCGTCATCTGTATCGTCGTCGTCGGCTTTATTCGATTCGCGAGGATCGCGGCCAAGCTCCGGTTTCGTCTTGCGTTCAAAGTCCTCAGCGTGGGCGTCGCGGAAGATTTCGCCGACATGAGTGAACGCGCGCTGGAGAGGAGAGGGACGGAAGTCGTCTTGAGGGCCGCGGCGCTTGCGCGTATTCGACTGTGAGTGTTCGAGATCTGCTCCTGAAGCTGTAGCTGGGCGGCGGACTTGGTTGTTGTTCTCGGTTGGAGTGTAGGGGCGGGACTCGTCGGGCTGTTCTTCGTCGATGAGTGTGGGTGCTCGAGGGATACCAGAGGTGTGATCCTCTTCCTCTTCTGCGTCCAGGGGGAGGTAGTACGGCAGTGGTACATCTCTGCTTGCGCGGAATCGACCGACGTTCGTGCAGTGCTCGTTCTCGACACGGAATACGGACCACATGCCTCTTCTGAAGATCTCACTGAGTGAGACACAGAAGGAAGTAGTCGCTGAGTGCTGAAGCTGCAGGGGCGTGACCAGGTACATAACCCAGTTGTTTCGCAAGATCGGATCAATGCACATGGCAGTATAATACCACCACACTTTCTTGTATCCCAGCTCCTTACGCAGGAAGGGATGCTTGGCATGTGGGTCACCGAGACTCCAATCGTAGTAGATGTCCCAGAAGCTCGTGTAGATGCCGTTGATGGTTGCAAACAGTATGAAGACTGCCTTGGTAGACGGTTTCTGGTCCATGCGGTAGATGCTGGTGGAGACATAGAACAGGATGGTTGCGATGTACTTTCCGCCGTTCAGGAGATGAGGGAACTTGTTTCCAGTGTCTTTGTAACGTCGCAGACATTGCATCAATCGCCATATACCCGGCAACGTCGTCATAACGCCGGTAACGCGTAGGTGAGACGAGTTGCATTGGTTGGGATTGTCCCAGCCGTGCGCGTAGAGACAGAAAAACAGTGCGATGCCCTAGGCAGGTCAGTGATTTGGAGCAGAGATGGGTTCGCCGGACTTACACTCATGCTGTAGGTCAGAGAACAGAACATGTCGCCCAAGTAGAAGTCTCGCCATTCGACAGGGTATATACCGGCGAGCAACAGGCGCCACTAGCGAGGCATTAGCAGTTGCTTCGCACGAGTTGATCAACAAACTTACCAGGGAGTACAGCAGCCACATGCGAGTACGGAAGTACATTATCCTCAGAGGATTGAACAAAAGCGCGACCGATATACCAATAAGAATGACGGGGTAGTAGAGATAGAGTCGATCTCCCCCAACCTGATGAAAGTTGATTTGCATAAACAGTCCAAGCATAAATAAAGTCCAACAAGGAAGCTATGATACGTTAGTGTCAGCGTACCAGATATGGGATGAATACTAACCTCCGCAAGTTGCCTCCAGTCCAAGTGGTGGCGGGTATCATATTCGAAGATGAAAACGTAGTTGATCTTGTGCTCGTGCCACGTCCGACACGCCAGGGTGAATAAGAGAAGAAGGAAGTTGATGAGAAAGTAGCCGGCATATATCTGAAAACATTAGCTTTGCCCTATCCATGGTTTGGATGACTCACCTGCAACAGATAGCTCGTGTTCACTGCGAACTCGTTCCCGTCAGTATTGTGCAGATCTGCAATAGTGTTTGCTTTGATGAGACCCTGGATGCCAAGTATGACGCCCGCCGACAATAGCAGACCGTTACGGAATGTATTGTCTGTGTAATCGCCTGCTCGTGCGATCTTGATGCGTAGCTTCCCGATGGCGACTTTGTGGTTGCCCTTCTCGAAGTATCTCGCGTATAGGTCCTCCGTTGCTCGAATGTGCCCTTCGATTACGTCGCTGTTCACGAACCAGGCTTGGTTGACCTTCTCATTCATGTACCGCGACGACGGTCGCGCGTTGACGGTCTTGTCATACTTCTTGTTGATTTTCCGGAAGGCAGTCCGGTTCAACAACGCGTAGGACTTGAGAAGCTCAAGCCCTCTGTAGTACTCCTGCAGTGCCACCTTGAGCTTGCGCTTCGCTGTCTGGTATGGCACGTCGGGCAGATCTGGCCGTCTAGCAAAGTCGCGACGGCTATCGGGATGGTCCTTGGGCTGAAGAGCCGCTGGGGTCGCAAGCTGTGTTATGTTCTTGGTGCTCTTCCCGTACTTGCCCGCGTTAATGGCGTCCAACGCGGCGTCTATGGGGTTTAGGAAAGTGTCCTTGAGAGTGTTTCCAAGATTCCCATTCCCGTTGGCCTGCTGATTTTCGTCGCCCGAGCTGCTGTTCTGACCGTTGCTCAGCACATGGTGCCCGTCGTGTTTCTTGTGGGCCTTCGCATTGATCTTGTCCGTTTGACGCTTGATGACCTCGTCGATACGTCGGTCTCGCATGATGTGGAGTTGGTCGCGGAGCACATTCAGGCGCTTGGTAGCCTCGTCTTCTTTGTGCTTGTAGAACGACTCGATCTTATCCAGCTCGCCATCGAGGAAGTTGAAGAACTCGGCTTGTCGGAAGTCAAGGTCGCGGTAGGCTTCGAGGGGGACGTCGCCTGGGCTGTCCGGGGGAGTCTTGCTGCTCAGTGAGAATAGACGGCGTACCGATGGGCGCGACTTGTGCTCGGTGATAGGGCCGGGCAGCGAGTTCATGCGCTTGGGGGTGAAGACGCTCTTGTAACGGTTGGGCAGCGAGCTGTGATGCTTGTGGGGCGACACCGTCTTCCCAACCTCGAAAGCATTGTCGTTGTCGTTCTCTGCTGGCGGAGGAAGCGTGACTGTCTTCTGCTTTCGCAGTGATGCGCCAGACGCCGCTCCTCCTTGAGGGGAAGGGTTCTCAGGGTCGAGCGCAGCCCCAGGCAGCTTCAAGGACGGCGGGGCCTTGGCCTTGTCTGCAGAGGTGCCGGTCTTGGTGGCGCCATCAGACGTGCTTCCCTCAAAGCTGCCGTAGTTGTGTGCCCAGTCGCGGCGGTTCGTCTCGCTCTGTGCCAATGGCTCTTCTTCGGGCGTGCGGCCACTCTGGTTGCTGTTCGCTCTCTGGCGCAGGCTGTGCTGGCTGCGGCTGTTCGTGATAGCAAGCGCTCTCAGGTCCTCGGGGTCTCTGGCGCTGCCCGTCTGGTCGCGGTTGAGGTACGTGTACTTGGGCGCGGCGTCGAAGGGCGAGGGCAGGATCTGGGTGCCGCGTCGGCGGAGGCGTGGGGTGGATTCGACATTGCGGAGGGCGCGACTGATGGCCTTGAGCTTCTTCTTGCCCACCTGAGGTATCGTCAGTCGTCTGTCGCATTAAGCGTCGGCTAGCGGAAGTCGGCATCACCTTGTAGTCTAAGTACTTGAGCCGCCACTCCGGTACCAGATCGCGCTCTAGCTCTCTACTGCAGTCAGTCCCGTGGCTGGAGTTATTTAGGTGCGTCGTCTCACTTTGCGAACTTCATGACCGTCTCGTCGGCGCGTCAATACCCAAACACGATCAATGGGGGGCACAAAAGCGCGTTCGCGTTTCTCGTCGATGCATGAGGTTCCGCGCAGACACACTGTAAAATGTTTCACGGGCGCGATAAGGGTTAGTAAATGCGAAGATGGTCGTGTGCTACCTCCAGCAGTTAAACCGTGGTTGCGAGGGCCGTCACGATGAGATTGAGTATACCGCGGAGGAGATTTGCACGAATCATGTTCCCCTTGGCAGCTATTGGCGCATTGGCGACAACGTCATACCTAGGGATCCTGTATTCTGCAGGTGTGGAAGCCCCTCAGAAGCCTCCAGCACAAGACCGGATAAACACACACGTCGATAGAGACATACAGCTGCCACTGTTCACGAAACACGTTGACGATACCGAGGGGCTGGCCAGAGCACTGGTCTCAAAAGGATTGAGCTAGTCCTTCATTGGATTCTTGGTTGCTTCTATGGGTCTGACCAATCATAGCCGTCTCTCCTCCGCTACCACCCGCGCCTCTCAAACTTCTCTGGGCGACCATACTGCTGAGGGTCGTACTGGTCCGCGCCATGGTTGTCGATGTAGTGCTCGTCGTACATGCGCTCTGCATGATGCTCTGCGTCGCGCTTGGCCTTCTCGCGGTCGAACCAGTCCTCGCCCTTGGTCTCGGCGAGCTTGTCAACCTACAGACGTCCAATTAGCCGCCATCCCATACACCGTCACACGGTGATGCTTACCTCAGCGCCTGCGAAGCCGGCAAGAAGCTCTTTGGCGAACTGATGGGATACCGGCTTGCCTAAGACGACGTCAGTGTGCGATAAGATCAAGTATGTGAAGATACATACCTTCTTTGCGCTGGTGGTCTTCAAATGCCTTGAAGCCTGCGAAAGCAGCTCCTCCAGCGATCATCTCGTGTCCCAGACTTGACTTGTTCTCTTCGAAGTTGTCATTCTCGTATACCTGCTGGTAGTTGTCTTCGTTCCTGTCTGTAATGGAGTCAGTGGGAGACATCTTCGATAAATGAGACAGACGAACCCCAGAAACCCATTTTGATAGTTGATGATGTGAAGACGAAAAGATGAGGGGTGATATTGGACTTGTCTGTAGTTCAGCAATGGTAGTTGAGTGTAGTGTCCATTTTAGAGGCGTACTTTGTCAGCCTTTAAGTATCTCTCCTCGGACAACCGCTGCCACGCGGCGTCATAATCGGCCAGCATTCATGCATCTGTTGCCAGTAACAAATCACTCATCGAGGCCGATCGTACCCCTCTCTTCTCGCGCTCAGCCATCCAGGGACCACTTGTGGCTCAGCTGTGAAGCACATGCAGGGTCCTTGAGCTCATTCTTGCGCCACTTTACGCACCAGACCGCTGACATCTTGATCTGAGTGGCTCATACTTCGTGTCGGCACGTTTGAAAGTATATTGACGAACCTGTTGTGGTATAGACGCGTGCGTAATGGGCCAGGATGTGGACGTCAGATCAACGGGACGCTCGGCACAGTCAAACAAGCTTCCTTGGTAAAGCTTAGCCTCGCATGACGGAGCGTCTAGGCTCGCGAGCTGAGGGGCTGCGCCTGCAAGAGGTTCCAAATACTCATTGGGCAGTACCACAGGATGCGAAACGAAAGTTGAATCCTCTTGCCAATACTGTAGCCTGGCCTCAGGTAGGATACCTAGGTAGTTGGGGTTGTTGCTTGTTCCGTGGTAGAAAGCTTGGCTAGTTAGCGCGCGATCATCTCCCGAGTCTCAGGTGCTCCAACTCCACCATGTACTCAGCCACAACCCCATCTTCGCGACAACATGCCGGGCCGACTCCCCACGAAAGCTGACTTTCCATCGTCGGTGACCTTGAGCATCACGCCACGTATGTCGCAATCTCCAGAGTCGCTCTTACGCTCGCTAACTCGTCCAGCGCCGGCTTCGCAACCACCCACGAACATCTTGATCCTCCTACACGGCCTCGGCGACACGAATGCGTCCTTCACGAAACTCGGGGAGCAACTGAACCTCCCAGAAACAGCATGCATCGCGATACAAGCGCCGAACCCACTGCCGTTCGATCTCGGTGGAATGCACTGGGGTGAAGACATGATCTTTGACTCCACTACAGGCGAGATGGACATGGACACCGGCGTCCAGAAGTCCACACTTCTGGTCCTAGATCAAGTCATTCGCGAAGGTCTCATCGGCAAATGCGGCTACAAAGCGCGCGAGATCATGATCTTTGGGTTCGCGCAAGGCGGCATGGTCGCACTGCAGGCTGCTGCCCAGCTTGAGGAAGAATTAGGCGGGGTGATCAGCATCGGAGGGCCTCTATCCCAATCAGTGCCGCTGAAGGCTTTAGAGAAGAAGAGCAAAACTCCGGTGCTAATCTGCAAAGCAGACAAGAAGTCTGCAGTCACCGACAGTGCGACTACGAAGCTGAAGGATGCTTTCCAATATATCGAGTTCAAAGAGTGGAAGAAGAACGGCGATGGCATGCCGAGCAGCCGCGACGAGATGCTGCCCATCATGCAGTTCTTTGCTCGTCGGCTACGGAGTACTAGAGGAGTCCCAGCAGGTAGCGTCGAGATCGGATAGGCACGCCAGGGAAGATATCGCGAAATGTATTGTCGAGGTCAGTCAAAGCCTCCGTATGCCACTACGCGCATGCGGCGCCTTTCCAAGTGCTGGGTAGGTAGCAAAGTAAGGACACCAAAGAATATAATCGGCTCCCCAAGCATCAAGCGATCTGAACATGAAAAACTTTACACCCACACACATTCCACGTCGCTTCGCCCACCACATTCCTGGAATCGCGCCTTCCTGCCCTCGTGATGCACGTGGCATGGTCCGAGCGCCTTCTACGTCACTTTCATCCTTCAACACCATTCGCTCATCGTCTTCCACCCTCCCAAAACCTACACACGCTTCACCGCTAAACACAGCCATGGCGGTGCCGAGGAATTCTTTGCGAGCCTTTCTCACACACGCGAGAGGCGCTCTCCGGAGCGCCATTGAAACTAGTCAGAAGATTACATTCGTCATTGGCAATGAGTCTGCGGGTGAGCATGACTCCTGCTCCACAATGGCGCTGCATACTCATGAAATGCAGACCTTGATTCGATGTCATGTTCCATTCTGTACGCATACCTCCGGTCCATGTCGCCGCCCAAAAATGCATTTAGCCCACTTTACGTACCAATCACAAATATTCCAGCTGCCGATATTCAGCTACGACCGGAATACTTGGCCGTGTTCAAGCACGCCAACATTGAGTCAAAGCACTTGATCACGTTGGATGACCTTCCCGCTTTGTCAGACATACAGTCGAAGCTCGCACCTGAGAATACCAAATGGATCTTGGTAGACCACAATGCGCTGCAAGGCCAATTGGGCAAAATCTACGCAGAGCGTGTCGCTGGTGTCATTGATCATCATGACGATGAAAAAAAAGTACCGGAAGACACAGGCGATGAGCCGAGGATAATCGAGAAGTGTGGCAGCTGCACTAGCTTGATTGCAAACTACTGCCAGCCATCATGGGACATGGCTTCCGCGTCTGCCTTGTCTTCGGGGGCAGCCCATGCGCAAGGTGACAGCATGTCCAACGACGCTGCCTTTGTCAAGCGCTGGGATGCAGACGTCGCCCAGTTGGGACTGGCCAGCATTCTCATCGATACGGCCGATCTCCACGACGAGAACAAAACGACCGAGCATGACCGTAAGGCTGTCGAGTACCTGGAAGCTAAGATTATGCTCTGTCCCCCGCTGGCTGCAAGCTTCGACCGTGCCAGCTTCTACAAGGAGATCAACGCAGCAAAGAAGGACATTGGAAGTCTAAAGCTGCACGACATACTTCGGAAGGATTATAAGCAATGGGACCAGGGTGGCCGAAAGCTCGGTGTTAGTTCAGTCGTCAAGCCTATAGAGTTTCTCCAGGAGAAAGCTGGCGACGAAGCAAGTGCCCAGGCATCCGACGCCTTCCTCAAAGCGTTGGAGGATTTTGCAAGGGAGCGTGAGCTGGACATGTATTCCCTGATGACCACGTCGTCGGGTGCAGATGGGCAATTCCAGAGAGAACTGTTACTATGGGCCTTCAACGACGGCGCCGTGTCGGCTGCCAAAACATTTGCCACGAATTCAAAAGATGAATTGGGATTGGAGGACTGGCAGGGCTCCGACGACATTGACAGCAAGAGCGAGTGGAGAAAGACTTGGTGGCAGCGACAAGTGCAGCACAGTCGGAAACGTGTCGCTCCTCTACTCAGGGAAGCCATGCCTTGACTACGGGTTCTGGGCAAGCTGTGATGGAGTCGCGGAGGCAGCGATCGGGTACAATGGTGCCGGTAGAGCGCTACGCTGGCGCGTTGGTGTCGGATTAGCGGGGATCGCCACGATTTCGCATGTCTTGCATTGTAGATAGGCGCTTAGCAGCGATTGGGCAGGGCGACCGTCAGCCCAAATGCCGTTGGGTAGAGTACGTGGAATGGCCATGGGTACCTGAAGAAGGAGCGGTCTGTATGCGGCAATCGTGTGGCGGGGTATTACACGCGACCGGCAGATGGTCGACGATCTCCGATAGCCAGCTGGAAACGAAACATGTTCAATGTAACATTTCAACGCCCACGCAGGATATTCTTATCTCGTAATATTACGATCGCGATTGAGTTGCCATGCACCAGGATATAGCGGCAGACGCACTGCGACTGCAAACATGCAAAAGGAACGAAGCTCCGCAGCGACTGCAGCGATAGCCCCAAGCAGGAGATGCTGCAGAGAGTTTAGTATGTGGTGTGACGGTGCGGCTCATTGGATGGCGACTGGATATGCATGGCGGAGTGATGAATGATGTCGAGGATTGCGAGGCACTAGGCATGCACTGGGAGATGAATGGGAAAACATGGGTTCACAGCGGTGCAGCGCGATGCTTTGGCGTGCAGCATGTTGCATGGCATGGTCCTTTTTGACAGCCATGCGCTGGCAGCGCAGGGGAAGAGGGCGACTCCACTCGCC